GGATGGGAAGGAAGGGTGGCCGGCGCTCCCGAACGGTCGATTCGCTCGCAAATCGAAGAACTGCCACTTTGAGCGGTTCGCTTGTCAAAGTAACTCAATTCCTGCGGTTTCGTTCTACCTCCACGTAAAACTTATTCACGTCACAGGCAGAAATAGATACGAGATGCTGCAGACCAGCTCTGCTCGCGGGCGCCATTTCGCCCTTGACGCATTTGGGGACCCTCCATACGACCTGATTTACAGATAAATGCGGAACATAATGTCATCAGGGTAAGATCACAAATATTTACAAAAAATATCCAGGGCAATCTCATTAAGAACATGATGTGATATCTTGGATACTACTAAAGGTCTGTTCAGCTTTACCAATGACCCTGATGGAAACAAATACACGTGCTTAAAACAGCTTTTTATCGGTTGCCTGGATTTGCGGATGCGTTCGTCTTGCGTTAACTTCTTAAAACATTACGTGTGAGTATATGAACTCTGCGCGACAGCACGTGAACGGGCGCAGGCCTACCGCCTACGTCCCTGCCTCGCGGGCATAGGCACGTGGCTTCGCACGTAGACATCCCCACGCGTCCTCCAGTCTTCCAAGTCGAGAAGTGAATTTTCTCATCGTCTCGCACATACATATAGTGGGACATTGCAAGGATAACGTACACCATAGCCTTGGCTCAACCAGGAATCGAGCCCGGGGGCGCGTAGTGGAAAAAGACAACGCTTGACATTAAGCTTGAAGAGAGCCATTATAAGTTTCCTTGTTTAAATGCATGTTTGAAAATACAAGAACGGGTTTAAATAAAGACGATACTAAGAATCCAGAAAGCAGTTTCTGGAAGCTCTGAGTATGGCCACTGTTCGGAAATAGAAGGAGAAGGCGTCGATTAGTGACGGCGAAAAAACAAACTTATACCCGATGTCCTGCGCTGACAGCTATATCGGTGGGACACTCATTTCAGTTCACATCTCACAAAAGTTACAAACGCAGAGTTCGTTTTGTTGCGGAAGCCGTAGAGCACACAGTTCTTTGCGTAGTGCGACGAGACCGGCGCAGAATCTTGAAATAATTTTAATTTTCCTGCATGCTTAGCATTTTATAATAACGTCCAGTGGTAGGCCCGTCTACTACAAAACATAGGATATGTAGCCCATTAAAACGTGTTGAAAATTATAGTTCAATGGGTTTTTTCGTGCGACGAAAATCTCATTGGCCGTTAATCAGATGCTCCACAGGAGTGTCGCCAAGTGCAATGAATTCACGGAGAGGTAAGTACACACAGAAATCTTATACATCATAAGTAATGATTGACGTGTTGAACTCCTTTCGGAAAAGTCGCAAGGAGTAGGACTGACGATTTTGAAACGTG